GGTTTTGGTTTTGAACAATTCTATGGCATTTTGTATTAGAAAAAATAATAGAGGCCGATTTATTCATATTTAAACTTATAATTAAATTTATAATCTAATAAAATTTGAATCAATTCGGAACATACTAAATGGTTCAAATCAAATGTGAAGCCCAAAGAAAGAATTTATTAAAAATTTTTTCTTGAAAAGCATAATATTTCTAAAAACAGATCTAGTTGAATTCTAAAATAGGAATATTAATAAAGAATAATATGTAAAATTAATTGTTAAAAGCTGTGTAACCGTCTCTCAAAATTAATCAATTAAATATAAAATTAAATAAAAATGTTGACTTGATTTTCACAAATTCGAAATGAATTTATTTCGAAATTTGTTTTTCTTTTGTAAATGGTTTATTTACATAATTCCATTTTAATATTGTACATTGCTATGTTTTGGGTTAAAAGTAACTAAAAATTTGGTGAACTGCAGTTATATGCTTAAAGATATATATATATATATATGTATAATATCTTGTCCAACTGTACATAAATTTCAATTTCAATTATTAACATAACATATAAAATCCATATGAACATTGGCTTACTTGGCCACTTTCAATATAAAACACCCAGTTTTAATTTTTCACAATTTCAAAAAGCAATTGTAAATCTTGCAATCTTGTAATTTGGAATTAAGCCGTTTTTCCTTTTCGTAACTCCAAATAAAATTCAGTTTTAAAAGTAATATACATATGTATAATGTATGTTTGCAATAATGTGTACTTGAGATTTTAAATTATTATTATATATGAATTAAAATCATAAGTGTATGAATTTGTCTTCTCTAAAAAAAAAATATAGTTATTTACGATACAAAACAATATGCAATTGCGTATATGTACATAATATTGTATTTTGAAATTAATATGTGCACATATACTAAATTTATTGGCTAACTACATATACATACATTGAATAAAAGAAAAAACAAAAAGAAAACAAAAGAATTATAAAAATAATCCAATAATAAAATTATTGATAAACAAACATTAAAATAATGATGAAAATAAAAAAAAAAGAGTTATGTTTAAATTTAAGAAAAAGTTGTTTCAAATAAATGGTAAAACAAAAACAAGAATGGATGTTTAATATAATTTTTAAGTATAAGTAAAGAGAAAAATAAAAAAAAAAAATATTAAAAAACGAAGAAAAAAAAAAATATTAAAAAAAATTATTTTTTATCTACTACATAATATTAAGCTGGATCATATTTTAAAAAGTAGTAAAAAAATAAAATAAATTTAAAATAAAAAAAAAAAAAAAACAATATTACAATATGAAATTCCATAAAATAAAAAAAAACTCACAAAGATAAAATTTTCGGCTCTTGGGGTGGTGTTGTTCATTGACTCCGTCAGTGCTAGAGCCTTCTAATATTCATATAATTACTTATACACTCTAAAAATTAGAATAAAGGCATGAAACCGGTTTAAATAACTTTTCAGTAATTACATAAATATTAAATGGTTCAAATTCTGAGTTTAGTTTTTAAAAAGCAACCCCCCTCCAAACCACAAAATAAAATTAATGCAAATTATAAAGTAACAGTAAAAAAATATATACATACGTACATACATATGTGTATATGAATTTAAATTTTTTTAAATTTGTTTTTTTATTTAATTTTTGAATTACAAATAATGAGCTGAAGAAAAGTTAAAATAATTTATAAAACACTTTATAATTACTTTACAATTAAAAATTTCATTTAAATTTTGAAATGTGAAAATAATATTTTTGAAATCTAATTACATTTTTTACTAGTATTTATTATATTCAATAAATAACTAAATGTAAAATTTGTGTATATACATACATATTATATAAATATTATATTTATTTAATATTTGTTTTTATATTTTAAATTCACTCTAAAATTATTTTACTTAGAAACTTAAACGATTAAATTGCAAAATTCAAATATAATTTCAAATAATTCATTTAAATTAATTACATAGTAAAATTACGAGGACAAGTTAAATAAAATTTAAATATAAAATTTATTAAAAAAAATATTATTTAATTTCACTTTATTCATACTTCATGATTTTAACGTGATTATTATTCATTTATTTCTAATAATATATGGTCACTTTCTTAAAATAACATTGTAAAGACTCCAATATTTAATAAATAAGAACAAAAAAAAAACATTAGGTCCGTTCACAAGACAAAAATCAAAAAATAACTCAATTAAATTTAATAAAATGTAATAAACCTCGAGGTTAGTTTTAAAATTACTTTGTTTAAAAAATGAGTAATTTTTTGACAACGTCAAGGTAAAAATGTGAAAATTAATACAACTTATTTTAAAAAATTAAATAATAATTTTTGACGAAAGCCCGTTCACAAGTTAAAGCTTATTTTTTTTTATTAATTTTACTAAATAACTGGGACCTTTTAATTAAATTTTTAGTTAATTTTTTATTCCATTTTACTATTAAATACAAATTTTTGAATATTCATAAGGTGATAACCAAAATAACTAAAATTTACGTTAATTTCTTTGTAAAATTTAACAGTATAAGAAAAGCACTAATAGAATCGTACAGAAACAGAAACAAATATTGAACAGTGCTATAAAGTTCATTGAAATTTATTTAATATATCAAACTTTATAAATAACCACTTTATAAATAACATATTTTCAGAGTCTTAAATTAATATTTCTTTGATTTTCATTAAAATATTTAAAAATCTATTATTTAACATAAATAATTATAATTTAATTAAGAGATAATAAAAAAAAACCGATACGAGATACTAAATTTTGGTAATAATTTTCACTACTTTTAATCAAATTTGATTAAAAAAGAAAATAAAAAACTACATATTAATTGAAACCCAATTCAAAATACAATAATTATATTTATTATAAACTACAAAACACATTAAAATATTAATTTACAATAGCCTATCCAATATTTAGCAGAAAATTATTAAAATAAAAAAGCAACAAAATGTAAAAAAACGAAACAAAAACACTCACAAATCATAAAGAGAAAACAAAAAATTTTTAACTTTTAAAGCGAAAATTACAAACAAACAAACAAAAATAATAAATCTCATTTGGAATATTTACAATTACAAATTAAATTAAAAAAACAAAAAAAAAAATAATAATAAAGCAACACAACAAAAAAATAAATAATAAAACAATTATTAATTCATTATTTCTGGTATACGTTATAAATTTATAATTATAATTACATTAAGTATGAACTATCTTCTTTTCTGAAATAGATTTTAAGAAAAATAAAAAAAAGAAATCAATAAAATAAATTCTCAAACAACACAAAAAAAAAACAATTAAATAAAAATAAAATAAAAATTATGGTGGATAAAACAAGAAAAAAAAAACTTAATACTTTTTTAAAAATGCATGAAAATTAAAATATTATGTAGATGATTTAAAAAAATCGAGTGTTTTATTTTCAATTAATTGTTATTTATTAGGAAACTCAGCCCTGATTAAATATGCTCTGCTCGTCTTACTGTTTCCACACACATGCGTATGTATGTCCATACTTATCGCTCAACTGCTTGCGAAAGTGTCAAGTAAAAATTCTGCTCGAAAATTTCAAACTTTTATGAATTTGTCTAAAAAAAAAGATACGAATAATGAAATTTTTGTGGTTTTATCTCTTTTACTTAATAAATTTGGAAGAAATATTTGTTTTCTATCTTAAACGATTTCTGTAAAGCCGAATGCACTTATTCGGGTTAATATGTTCGAACTATTGTGACAATTGAATTTATAATTTCATATCAAATATGTTTTTTTTTCGCTCATTTACAATTATATATTGTACTACTTGCGAAAATTACAATTAAAAATTTGTCAAATTACAAATTTTAATTAATTAAGTGTGAATTAAAATTTGATAAAAATCTGACATATAAGCGTTGTTTGCCAAATAGACCAAATCTAACGAAACAAAAACGAAATAAGCTACTTCTTGTGTTAGATGTTCTATCATATTGTTAAAATCTAAAAAAATACATTCGAAATAAAAAGTACAAAATAAGTAAATTCGTTTTGAATATCTTAGCATGGTTGAAAATCATGGGGCACACACAACTTTTGAAATAATCCGAATAATAAGAATGATTTTGACACATTATTTATTCAAAATACATTATTTTTGAATATTCGGAGTGAATAGTTAAAAATCACAAAACGCAAAAGTCGAGCGACAGGATCAAACCAAAAACTACTGAATCTATTAAAATGTGACTTTAAATCATGGCAAGTTTTAACTGCCAAATTGAACAAATTTTTCTGGTCCTTTTTAAAAAATATTACAAAATATTACACAGTTTTATTTGTTTTTAATCATTTCAGCAAGCCGATGTATTGCATCGCTTATATTCTTTATTAATATAATTAAATATAATTTTTGCAGGGAAATGCATGAAACGCTTCCACACTAAAGCATTTACTTTCAGCGATTAACCGTTTAAATTGATTGAGTAAGTTTGAAGTTATTGACTCAATTGAACGCACCCTTTAAAATTAACATCGAGTGAAATTTAACCTTTAACTAATATCTGGACGAAAAAAATGATTATGTTTAAAAATATAGTAAAAATTAATAAATTTTGAGCTTTACCCCAAGTAGAATGCGAAAAAATATGATCTTAAGCTAAAAGCAAATTTTAATTCAAATGAACCATGATTCGCTTTGTGGAAAAAAAAATGTCAGGGGTTTTGTTTTGAAATGTCAAATTTTGCTAATTAATATAGTAAGAATATATTTTGATAGGGCCTTAAAGCATACCTTAATTAGAATCTAAAGAAACATTTTTATAGAATCTTAAAAACGTACTATAAATCGTTATAAATTATTACTTTTTAATAAAAATAAGGAAAAATTCAATTATATTTGTGTAAAGTTTATTTTTATTAAAACATTAATTTAGAAAGTGGAGAAAAAAAAAATATTTGTTTGGTTTTTGAAAAGTAGGCATTTTTAAAATGGGGCCAAGAATGATCCTATCAGTTCAGGGAATAAATAATGATACCAGTTAAGGGTTAAATTCAATAACAATACTACTCCATTTCTCTATCAAATTCTGGATATGCCAATTTTTGACATAAAATTAAAAAATGTATAATATGGTATACTTTTCCATTTCGCTTGTGTTTCAAGAATTCTGGGTAGCTTTAAGTTTTGATGGATTCTGCATGAAATAAAAGTGTTTTAAAGAAAAAAATTAAATACGTGGATATCGTTGCTATCAATATGTCTAAACTTTGTAATTCAAATGAAGAAGAAGATGAGAAAACAGAAAACAAAAACTTTTTAACTGGAAGAATCATAAATGAAGATGAAAACAATATAAAAAATGATAAAGAAGAGTACAGTTTGTACATATATAACTTGGCTCCAGAAACTGATGAAGAATATCTTTGGAGAGCTTTTTCTCCTTTCGGTGCTATAAAAAAAATCGTCGTGATGAGGGATCCTGAAACTAATATTTCAAGAGGTTTTGCATTTGTCGACATGAAAAATTTTAATGATGCAAACTCAGCAATAGAAATTTTAAATGGAACTGAATTAAATAATAAACAACTCAAGATTAACTTCAAAGGACAAAGGTAAGCGAATTTTTTTTTGTTATATTAAAAGTGAATAAGAGTTATGGTTTATTATGCACGTCCAATAAAAAAATAGTTAACAAGAATTTAAAACCGCCTAGGATCAATATAAAATTGTATAAACAAGCATATTTACATATGAAGTTAACTTTAAATTTACAACTTTTTAGGGTGCAACATGCATAAAATCATATTTTATTAGAATTTATTGAAATTATTTTGATACTTACTGTATTTGTAATTTTTTATTTTTTGGGATATACCTAAGTACTAAAATTATTAATTTTAAAATACATAACTACATATCTAACTATTGAAATACGTTAATAATTCAATTTCAAACAATGCTTAGCAATTTTCTTTTCATTTTTTTATTTTAATTGGTAAGTAGGTATACGTTTATAACAAGTTTATCGAATTTATGTTTTTTTTTCTTGAAGAAATGATGATGAGCAACCTTTTGAGGAAATTGCAGCATATCAACTTTATGTCTATAATATTCCTAGCGATACTAGCGAACTAAGGCTTTTTAAATTATTTGGGCAGTTTGGTGGCGTTAAAAACGTTGCAATTATGAAAGACCGTGTGAAATATTCAGGTACCATTGCATTTGTTACAATGAGAAAAAAAGACGAGGCAGAAAAGGCTATAAAAACCTTAAATGGATTCAATTTAGAAAATCATATTCTTCAAGTTAGATTTAAGAATCAAAAGTGAGTTTTTAAATAATATTTTATTTAAGATTTTAAAATTAATCTAAGAAAATTTTAGAGGCGAAACTCTTGACAATGCAAAAGAAAATCTTCCTCGTGGAGATATTCAGTTGTATATTAATAATTTAGATTATTTTATTGAAGAGCAAACAATTTGGAAATTGTTTGCTCATTTTGGTGCCGTAAAAGATGTTAATATAATGAGAGATTTATCAGGAAGATGTATAGGATATGGATTTGTTACAATGAAGGAAACTAGAGCTGCATCATTAGCCGTTAACACCTTAAATGGCACAAATTTAGCTGGTAGAAATTTAATTGTAAGTTTTAAAACAAAAAAATCTAAAGGTTCATAAGAATGTTTTATACATAGTTATATGTGCGTATTTATATAACTTTTGAACTTTTAAAATTCATATTTTCTAAAATTAATAAATTACTGAATAATTGTAAATTCTATATTGTGAATAAGAATAAGAACACAAGAATGTAAGTAAAAATTTTCAACATTTTAAGTGTTGTTTTGTAAGTGGAATATCCCAAAAATAATCAACGGATATAAAGTATTATATTCAAAGCTTTTAATCAAGAATAATCATCTTAATCATAATTCGAAATAAATTTAACAAAATTGTGTTTAATTACAATTTACATTTATAAATTTTAGTTTTTTGGTTTTACAGCTCAGAAATTTGTTTCATTTCATCAATGGTTTTTGAAATTTTGTGTGGTAATAAAATAACCATTTCTTTACAAACACCTATCTCAGCTTGTAAAGCTTTAGAAGCTTCTTTATCCGCTTCACATCCTTCTACGAATAATTTATAGAATTTCAAACTGTTACTCAAATTGTTTAATTGGTTTTCTTTATTTGGTGTTATAATTTTATAGAAAAGACGACCTAAATGAAAGTGCGCAAATAAATATAACTCTTTTTCAGAAGAAAGAATTCCATCTTTTAAAGTTTCGGTATCTTTATCAATATATGAATCAATAAATTGCTTGAAATGGTTAATTGCCTTATCGCATAACATATTTATTTTATGTAGAGCATGTGGGGTAGGTTTTTCATCATACTTGAGGTTGGAAATTGCGTCCAATTTAACATCTAACATAGCACAATAAGCCAAACCTGCATTATACCAACATTCACGACACAACACAAGATAATATTTGGGATTCAAAATTTTGAGTAAATCTTCTAAATAATCAGCTCGTTTCTTGTGCATTTTGCTTTGATTTGAAGGTATATCATCAAAGAATGCCATTACTTTATACAGTTCAGAAAAATCTATAATTATTCTTGCATATTCAGATGCTTCTGTATCAGATTTGTAATATTCTTTTGAGCGATCTAACCATAAAGTTACAAAATGAAAAACAACCTTTGCATCATCAAAAGTCAAACAATACTTGTCGGTTATTCCATTCTCTATAGACCACAAATTAAGATTTTCAAATTTATAATCGCCACAATTCATCAAGTTTTCAAGATCTAAAATCAAATTATTTAATGTACTTAAAAAATATAAAAATGAAATTCATTTCAATTTACCCTTATTTAATTTATCCTCAGTATCAGCCATTAATCTGTCTTTGGAAGCATTCAAAAGGGTTAGCCCATACTTTGACCAGCAGCGAGCTACATCGGCATATCTATGATTAAAATTTTCTTTAACAGAAGAAATTGCATCTTCTGACATGCCGGGTGAAATCATTTTTTCCTCATATTCGGATAATATAAAGCTCGCTGCAGCCAAATGATGCCTGGCTTCCGTGAATTTGTTTACTCCGATATAATATTGAGACAATGTAGCAGAGTTAAGAGCCCAATCAATATAATCTAATCCTTCTTTATTCATAATTTGTCTTCGAAGAGTCAAATTACAATATTTTGCAGACAATTCCAAATTGCCCAATTTACCAAGCATTTGTGCTTTGTAAAACGTAGTTAACGTAAATAGTTTTTCTAGCTCTTTAATACCTTTTCCCGTTTCTATTTCATCAACCGTCCCAAATATGTCACTAATAGCCATTGGTGGTATATCCAATTTTTTAAAATCATTATAAGCGTTCTCGCTTTGTGTAAAAAACTGTTCAGATCGTTGCGTTTCATTTCTATTTGCCCAAACAATACCTAATTCATTTGATGCTCCAATATAAGAAATTATCATCTCATTTTTTAAATAATTTTCTCCAATTAATTCTAAGGATTGCTGCAAATAATTTTCTCCAGCGGGAACTTCTTCACAAAAAACACAAATTCGACCTATATCTCTATATATAAATGCCAGAATGGCTTTAAAAATAAACTGCTCGCTTTCATCTCCATCTGAATGCATAAAATTTTTTAAATTATTCATCATTTCTTTTAAAATTTCCTTAGCGGCGTAATGAGATTTATATGGATCAGTTGGTGGATCATTTTCCGATTCTTCATCAACCAATTTATATGCCTTCTCATATTGTTCTTTTAAGTCAGTTAGTGTTTCTTTTGGTATGACCATTTTTATATTTTTAAGTTTAAATATGTAATAAAGTTATTTATAATAAATTAAAATAAAATTAGTAGTAATGAGTATATTTCAAATTGTTGTGTTGCAATGTATGCTCTTTTTACAATTTTTCCAATGATTTTTCCAAAAAAAAATTATAATTCAACCTATATTGTTTATATCTATAAGTATTTTCAAATGTCAAAACAATGAATAAATGACAATTCAAACAGAGATAACCAAACTGTATTGAGTAAAATATATTGTGTAGAGCTATCTGTTGGTGAGAAATTTTGTATATGTACATTAATGTGAAAAAATAATTCAGTTATTTTAAAATTAAAAATTTAAAACAAAATCATAAAATTAAATGTATGATTTGAGAATATACTTTGTTTTAAATTGTGCTAGATTGTAAATACATACTTACATCACAATACATAACAATATTCAAAAGATTTTTATCAACAAAGTTTTTATTATTAAATATTAATGTAAATAATATCAACAAAATTTTACAATAAGTTACTGTTTATAAATAGAATAATACACTAAATAAAAAGAAAAATGCATCATTCAATATTTATCACATTGTGACAAATATTAAAATCATTGTAATAAATTTAAAATATAATATTGCAAGCCAAAATTGAATTATACGTTACATAATTGCGTGCAATAATGGAGTACATTAGTTCAAAAAATAATATTCTTAAATAAAAACTAATAATTAATCAAGAGAATGCATTTTTCATTTACAATTTTTCAAAAGTTATTTCTTAAACTTATACTATTATCTATAAATTAAAATTTGTTGTAAGCATTATCTTTAGTTAACTTAGTATTTAGTTTGAACTTAAAACTGGTTATGAAGACAAAAATTTGGTTTTTGTATAAAATTTGAGATGCTTTAACATTTTAACAAATATTAAAAAAAAAAAAACAAATTATTATAAATATGTATATATTATTTAACTAAAATTTAGTAAGCTGAGAGCTACAAAATAAAATATTTACACATTTCAAATTTCGCATTAATTATGACATGTTGTATTTAGCCTTAAATATAGTTTTTGCGTTCCATTTTTTTCCAGTGCTTTTATTTTATTTCGTACCGGAACAAAAATGAAAAATGTTCTATTTTTTTTGAACAAAGTTTAATTTATGATAACAAACATTATTTAATTGTAATATATTTTCATTACAAGTTATAATGAAGCCATCTTACTATAAGTCCCAATAATAATTTCATATTTTTGAATTTTTAAATGCAATTTTATGATCGAATATGCATTTCAGACATATTTAATTCCATATTTTTCTCATTGGATTCCTCTTGGCTATCTGAATTTAACATTTCATGTTCATTTAAATTTTGGTCATTTTCTCTAGCTACCTCATCGTAATCATTATATTCTTCACTAGTATTGAAAAAATCAAAAATACTTGCTGGTTTTTCAAATTGGTCATAATCAAATACTTGTCTGTTTTCTTTTGATTCTTGAATTAGGGCAGCATCAATTGGTTCCAAAACAGTTGTTTTAGTAACAGACGTAATATCATTATTAGAAGGTGGCACTGTTGTTACAAAAATCATGGATGATTTTTCACTTGTTTCTAATTTTTGTGTAACTGATTCCGTTGTTGATGATGTTTCTGGAGTTGTTGTTGTTGACACATTGCTTTGCGAAATTGCTGTACTGTCGTCTCTAAATAAACTTCCAAGTGAAGAGTCTAAAAATGATAAAAGACTTAATGACTCTGATTCATTTTCAATATGATTATTTTGCAATGTTTCGCTTTTATTTTGCTCCTTATTTTCAGGTTTTTTATTATGTAAATGTTTAACTTCTATTGCTTGTCCATTTTCATCTTTTAAGACTACATGTTTTTTGACAACTGCTTCTCTATCCGGTACTTGTATTGGTACAATTTTGGGCTCATGGTTAACTGTTTTTGTGTCATTATCCTTTAATCCGTATGTTTTGACTTTCGAATGTCCTTCAATAATTAAATATAAAGGTCCAAATAGTGGTCTTTCTGGTTGCTTATAGTGAGAGAATAAAACGTCTGTAGTCAATTTATTTTTAGGGGTAGTCATTGTTTGGGATTGATTGGGTATAATGTATTGTGTTGGTCTTGGCCTTAGGATAGTTGATTTTGCAGTAATTGCTGTTGTAGTTGTCATAAGTTTAGTATTTGTTGTCTTAGAAGGATAAGTTGAATGAATAAAAGTTGGGGAAGGTTTTGGAGTTATTGGTTCAGAAGTAGTACCAGCAGTACTAGATTTTGGTGAAGTAGATGTTATTAATAGCAAAGTTGTAGATTTTATTGGAGGTTCAGTAGTCATTATTGGAACAAATATATTTGTGACATTAGCTTGTACTGGTCTCAAGGTATTAATAGGTTGATGAATATATAATTGCGATTGTGGTTGCAATGGTTTTGGTGGTTGTGATTGTGGTGATGATGGAACTTTTGAAGGTTGCAAACTTACATAATTTACTCCTTCTACTAATGGTGGTGATTTTGTGATTTCTTTTGAAAGTAATTCATGAATCCAAGGTTTTCTTTTAAAATATGGTTGCTTTACGTTAATGGAACTTGATGCTTGTTGTGCTGATGGAATACCGTTTGCTTCAGGTTTTGTAATACTAACATAACTTATAGACTCAGCATTCCTTGTATCATAAGGCGGTTTGTTAAATATCCAAGTTGGTGGATTTGATGCAGGTGCAGAAGATGAATGCTGAAAATATGAAGCGGTATTCCCATTAGTTTTATGACCAATATTATTAGAATTAGCTGTATATGTCATTAAAGTTGGAGGCATTGACGAATAATGATGATGGTATGTATGATAATATGTTTCTGTTGTAGGCATTAATTTGTTTACTGACGTAATAGTGGATGGTGGAGCAATAGTTTGCATGGGTGGTGGCATTAATCTTGTTGGTAAATTATGATAGTGTCCATATGAATAACTTCGGCGAATTGTTCCTTGTAATTTTGTTGTTTGATGATTTTGATTTTCTTGTACATATTGTTGTTTGAATGGTTCTGCTTGAATAGATTGTTCATGGCCTATATATTTACTTTCTTTACGATAATTTTGTCTTTTTGCTGGTACACCTAAGATTAAAATTTCATTTTTATCTTTGTTGATTGCCGTTTCTTTATTATTTGTTAATGAATTTGCTTTATTTTCATTTTTTGTGTTTTCTGCCCAATAACGTACAGGTTCAACCACTGGGGGACTATAATCATAAGTTGGATCATTTTTTAATGGATCACCTCGTCCTACTGGTTGCCATGAATTATATTCAACACGCGGTGTAAATAATGGCCTGACTTCCGATTCAATTGGTGATCTATTTTCTAATTCCAAAGATCTATGTTCCAATTCAAGAGATCTGTGTTCCAGACCTATAATTATATAAATTGAAACAAAAAATTATTGCACTTTATTTACATACATATATACTTATATTTGTTTTTAAGATAAATGTGGAAATGAATTACTTTTAAGAATGATGGTGTTAAAAATTTTTATAATAATATAATATACCAAATTAATTTTATTTGAAAAAAGTTAAAAAACTTTTCAATTTAAGAAAGTCAAATGTCAAAATTTTTAAAATTTTTTTCAAAAATATTTTTTCCTTTAAATGTCTTTCACTCGTAATTGTACATATCATACTGAACATACATTTTCTGTTTTAATTTAAAAATATATGAATACGTCATTTTATAAAATTATATTTAAGTAGCGTTTTTAATAATAAAAAAATTATTTATTAATAATTCTGTCTAGAATTTTATTATTTAATTTAAAAATATTATTTGGAACAATTAAATACCATTTTTTTAATATGTATTAAAAATTATAGAAACTAGGAGCAAAATTTTAATATCTAAAAGGAAACTAACATATTTAACGATTTGGTGTTTGATTCTTGTTAACAAACTTAATTTAGTTCCGTAAAAATAAAATAGTATAAACGATTAATATATTACTAAACTTAATTTAAAATATTTGTGTTAAAATTTCAAAGTAAAAAATTAATTAATTTTTAATAATTTAAGAAAAAAAAAATCAAACGAGGAAAATATTTCACATAATATAATAGAAATATTATGAATTAGGAAGTTCAATTAAATTTAAAGAATTTTCAATTCCGCAATACTAAAATAACCTACCTATTGTTTACACAATACGGTCGGTAAAAATGAATAGTTTGGCTTATGCTATATAATCAAAATCTAGTTTATTATGTAAAGTAAAAAGTATATTAATATTATTAATTTTATTGAACTTTTGATAAGCAGCAATACATATACCAAGTGTCTTATTAATAATATTTTACATTCGAATTATTTCAAACACAAAAAATTCAATATACACTATGGTATATAAAAAGTGGAATAGAAAAAACATACACAAATTTTGTTCCGGTAAAGTAGGTAGGTATGTACATAGAAAATTACATAGGTACATGAATAAGTGCATAAGATCCGGATGGTTTAAAACTTCCTATTTTTGTAATTTACATTATATACAATTATTAATTCATTTCATATCCAAAGAAATTGCAAAAAAAAAAAAAAATTCCAGTTGTTTTTTATTTTCAAAACAATTTTTTTTGTTTGTGAATTTTTCTACTTAATTACATTACAGAAAAATATTTATAAAACGGACATATGTACATTTATTTATGTAAGGTATGTGTATATTATAAATATTGATCTATTAATAATTCCAATCACAAAAGATTGTCAGATGAAAGTTTATTTCTCTTTTATTTTTCATTTTTTTTTTTCACTTTAATTTAAGATTAAGACAATGTGTTTTTTCCACACATTTCTTTTTTTACTATTTACTTGTTTTGTGTAATACATAATGGGACAATAACGGTAATTTTACAATAATTTGCAAATTACAAAAATATGTGTTATAAATTTAATAATCTTTGTATACAAATATTTATATCAGCAGAATTAATTAATATTAGTGTTTTTAGGTATTGAGAGTTAAAAATATGTACATACATATTTAAATAATTTTACTCTTTAACACATACTTACTTACTTATACACATATTCTATTAAAGGTTCTTGTAGAAATCGTAATCAATGAAAATTTTTTTTATATATGATTTTTTATTCATATTTTTAATTCAGCTTTAATAATTTTTTAACAAATGTTTATTTTTTAATAATTTCAGCAAAGTTATTTAAGTGACTTAGAACCAGAGCGGTCGAGTTAACATTTACGTTTTATTACTAAAAACGTATTGTAAATTCGAATATTTAAATTATTGCATACAGTTAGGATGTAAAAAAAATTCAAGAAGCGTTGAAACAATGGTCGAACTCGACGGTTAAGTAAGTATGTTAAGATATTTTATAATTATCATAATTATATTTTTTATGGCATGGTATTTACCGTAGCTTTGCTTCAATTAATAATATAATAATGCTGAAAACTTAAATTTTACAAATTTCGAAAGGTGATAACTTGGAAGGGAGTCTAGATGAGAAACGATATCAAAAACTTGAGAAAAACGGCTACTTTTGATTTTTAAGGGCATGCTAATTAATAGTATGTGATAATTTTAAATAAAAAATGCACTTAAATTTAGTAATTAAAATTTCACCGATCAGCGGTTAAACGCATATTACATATAAGCTAATTGAAACTATACGAGTACTATAAACAAAAGCATATTCTATAAATAAATCTTCACAGTTCATAAAAATTAAAAGTTTTGTAGTCAATTTTGATTTTTAACTCAAATTATAGCAAATTGTTTTAGGAAATAGGAAATCATTAATTGAATAATTTAATAATCATAAATCAAATAAATTTTCATTTTGTTTTTGTTACATACATTTTTATATGTACACAATATGAGAATGAGGAAAATTGCAATTATATACAATTGCTTACAATTTAAATATTATTTAAAAATTTATACATAATATTAGATTTTTTTAAAATCATTCAATTTATATTTCATTGCATGTAATTTTTTACTGTCAGAAGTTATTGCCAAATACTTTTTATTTTTAACATGAGTGTTAAATCATGAAAAACATGATTTAACATACCGCATTCATTTCTATATAATTATTACATAATTAATATAATGAAGAAAAAAAAACAAAGAGTAATTGTAGCAATTCACTTTCGAAAATTTAAATTTTTAATTTCAAAATTGAATCAAAGAACTTTATCTTAACACTCTAATTGTTGTCATGTTTATTTAATACAAATCCACTTTCTGTAGCATTTTATTGTTTTACAAAAATTATATACGTAATTATGTATGATTGTGTAGCATAAAGTAGCACTTAATTTCTGTCCATGAAGCCCTTATAAAATTATTTTTACTTCTTAAATACAATATGCATATAAAATTGTGCGCAAATGATATTTGTGACTTAAATTTTTTTTATTTCAGGAACTATTATCAAAATTTTAATTTTAATGTTTTCTTTGAAATTTTTTTCTTATTTTCCATAAATAGCCGTAACATTAAATAAATTGTTGGAATTAAAATAAAGTTGTTGTAAAAAAAATAAACAATGCAGTAATAATTACAAAAATTTTTTACATATTTTGATTGTTATTGCAATTTTTTACAAGTAACAAGAATTTTAAATTATAAATAGTTTATAAAATGTCATTAATACCTAATTTTAGTAATTTCGAATGTACATGTGCATGTACATATAGATGATAATGTACTTACTGTAAGAAGGAAGAAATTTCAGATTGTTTAATTTAACAGTTCAATAACGTGGAAGTGTATGTACATTTCTGGGAAAACAGGAAAATATGTTTTAATTGTGTAAAAATTAATATTCAAATTAATATATTTAAATAATTTATTAATCAATATAATAATAAATAACAAAGTAACATTAAGCATTTTTTTTTCAATTACTTTGTATAACAATTTTAATTGAATATTGTGTTAAAATTAATTAAAATTTAAGATTAAAAATATAAAATTAGCTCTATACAACAAAATAAAACTAAATATTCAATTTAAAATAAGGAATCTGCATTAAATTAAGCCTAAAATTTTCAAAAAAATCGGATTTCAATTACTTAATTTAGAAAATTTGTTATTAGTTTTTATGTATAAACATTATTTAAAACTTAAATCAGTTGTTTAAAGCTGTATAATAAATTTTTCTTGCTTTATTTGATTTCATCCCCCCAGAATTCAACTTAAATCAAATTTAACTATCTTACAGATTTAAATGTGAGAAATTTAAATATTATACATAAGGGTGTCAGAAGCAGAGTGGCGTAAGCCACAAATAAAAAAAAATTTTTTTTTGCTGCAATCGGTAATGTACACCTTCTAAAATCAGTAATATTAGTTTCCAGTTTTGAAATAGCTTTTTTTCTATTTATTTTTCACAAAAGTATTTTTGCTTTTGTAAAAATTTTCTGATTTTGCAAAAATTTTCTGATTTTTCAAAAGCAGAGTGGCATAACCCACATTGTGGCTTACGCCACTCTGCTTCTGAACCCCTCATATAATACGTATCCCCACTTTGATTCTAAATCGACTTAGAAACTATTGTTATAAATCTAATTAAGTGACAAAGATATTATAGAGTTTTATTGTTTTGTAAAATTTTAACAAAACCTAAAAAAAAAATCGAAATCTTTTCGAATATGTCAGATATCCGAAAAATTCTAATAACACAGTTGCTATTACTATTCACAAAAATAGTATATACGAGTATGCTAAATTTTTAAGAGTCCTCAAAAAATTATTTTAAATTTTTGACGGGTTATTAAATCGTATAGTTCAAAATTTTTTTAACCATCTTCAATTTTAAATTAAAACAAATTTGTTTTTTTAATTATTGCAATCATTTCAATTTCCTTTTGATTTGCATACTTTCCAAGTGAATGAAACTGATTACACATACATATATGCACAAATATGTTTATTACATATGGAAATATTAATTTACAACACGTTATTAATTTTAAACCTGGCGTATCTCAATATACATACATATATAAACATTCTGTGGTAAACCAGGGGTCAATTATAATCGCTTTGTGGTTATTTTGCTCAATTTGGTTATAGTGTTGTTCGTTTTACATACTCTCTTTTATAATGGTACAAAAAAAAATCTACAATGTATCACATTTAATTTTAAATGTTATTAAAATAAAATCACAAAAAAATAAATGGTAAATGAAATAAATTATGTTGTTTTTTTTTTTTGTTTTTCTTACAAATATTTTTAAAAATTTAGTGTTTAAGTTTGTTCATAGATCAATGTATGTGTATATGTTTATCAAATTGTTACTTAGTATACATCTCTCTCTTCCTTCATATGTACATAATTAAAATTTTTCAAAACTTTTGTATGGAAATTCAATTATTTGTTTTTTGTTCCTTTAGTCTTTAACCGCAATAATATTTGCTAGATTACGGTTAATATGAATAGTTGCTAAGTAATGTGCACTTTTTACTACAATTTCTAAAATGAAAAGTCTCTATAGTATATATGTGATCTAAAGAATTCATATATAAGAAAGAAGTTAAATGTACATTTCATATAGCATGAATAAAGTAAATATAAATAAGTGCACATGTGTACAAACTATCCACTAAATCTACTTAAGCACATTTTTATTTTACAATGTACATTTTAAATAGTTGAATGAAATTTAAATTTTAGAGTTTAAAATCTTTAAATATTTTACATTGTTTATATAAAATATTCGTAAATTATCACTTGTCGCTTTAAAAATTTGGTATTTTATTTTTTTTTTCATTCAAAACAAGTCTTATAATATAAAGTGTTTAGTAATAAGAATGTTATATTCAATTTAAAAGGTTAGTATGCCATTTGTAAATTAAATATCATGGTTCTGAAAAAAATTCATCTAAAAAATAAATAATATGATGTTAGTTAATAAATAATATAAATGTGTTTTCATATATGTAAGAGGTTATAAGCTCATAAGTATGATGTGTCTTGAATATACAAAAGAAGCAACAACAAAAATGTTAAATTCTTATTTTAATTTAAAAAAAAAAGGTTTTAGATATTTGAAATTTGAGAAGCTAAACACTTACGATAAAACGTTATTTAGGGAATTTTATAAAAATTCCTAAAATTTGCTCAAATATTTTAGAATAATCCCTTTCAGTCCCTTTAAGTTGGTAAACCGATCAACAGTAATTAGTTGCAAACCAAAAACAAGTAGTTCAACAGTAAGAAAACGTCAAATCATAATTTCGTGGAGAAATATTATCAAAAAATTTTAATATTAAATTTCATTTTAATTGCAAAAGTTAAGTTGTAAATGATTTGTAGTGCTGACTGGGAAGCATTTATTTGGGCTTTACTGTATAACAAGATTTATATGTATATGTTGTAGAGATTTAAGATCACAAACTATATTTATTAACTTTATTTGCATTTAAAAACTAAACATGTATGCATTATGCATATTTTATATTCATATACATTATTGTATACAGAATCGCGTCTAAGAAGGTTTTAATGAACACAATATAAAAATTATTTATTGTCTTAATATTTAAATGTGTATGAAAAGTAAATAAATTATAAATTTTATTTAAACATATATATATAATGAATTCCTCTGAAATATTTTTAAAAATTTGAATGGTATCATTTATTTTTTCAATTTTGAAAAATAAAATTTGGTTATAATTTCACTATGCAGAGTATACTATGTTAGTATACTATAATTAGAAATTTTCAATTTAACAATGCAAATATGCTATATTTAATTCATTTTAAAGAATTCTTGGTTTTCTAGTGAAAAAGCAAAACATTCGGCAAGGTTAGTTTTTACATGATTCTCATATTTCCATAGACAAATTGCATATAACTTATTTTATATATGCATTTGAGCACTAAAATTTAAATACTTACGTAAATGTAAAAACAAAAAAAGAAAATTAAATAAGATATGTTATTTTATTTTTTTAACCTCTGGGAGCATATTTCAATTAATCTCCCTGGAATTAAACTTTTCTTTCCATAATATTTTCTTTAACTTTTCTCACGTTATACGGGAATAATTGGAACTAATCTTATATTAGCAGAAGTTTTTATATCATTTTTTTTGGTTTGTTTAATTTGGTTTATTTTGTAATTCGAACTTTAGAATGTTAAAATTTAAAATTATTGTCGAGAATAACAATGTTTTGTATTGACTGCAACTAACAATTGACAATATAACATCAAGTAATAAGATATTAGGTCCCTTAAAAATAGGTTTTTTTCAAAACATTTTAAAAAGAAAGGCCTTCAGAAGCAATTCAACTTTTTCAGGATAAAGCTTTACAGAAATTTTAAATTGATTCATACTGTATGAGTCTAATTTATATATGGAAATTTATATATGGGAATACTACATACACGTGTAGTTTTATTGTATTTAGTACGAACACTGGTTATGAAAAATAACACATTTATGAATTGCAAATAGCCGGGCGCAATCATTAAACTATCTATAATATTATTTTATCTAGAATTTTATGATGCATGATAGTATAATGGATTAATGGGTAGGCTATACTTAGCCTATAACAAGAGATTAAAAATTATACAAAATTCTGTTACACAGACTAAAATTAACCTTAATATTTCGAATACCATTTAGTTTTCTTTTTTCATTTGCATGTCATTTTAAGAATTTTAAAGGCATCCATACGGTATACATGTATTGTAACTTGTTCTCAATTAGTATCAGTAGTGTAGAATTCATAAAAGTGTTATACAGTATACCATTTAAAAGAATTCATAAAAGTTTTTCAAACTTAACACAATGACAGAACTAGGGTTCGCAAAAGCAATTCTGTTTCAAATGTATTCGATATTTGATAGACTAGAAAGCTAAGAACTTATTGAAATATCACTTGCAAAATGTAGCTGTAAAAAATATATTATTAATTAAAATTAACGTAGCTCATTGCAATGACAATATTCCATTTAATTATTTGACTTAATTTTATGTTGTCCTTTCGTATATGTATTCAAAATACAAATACATATAGGCAAATAAGCATTATTATATACAATTTATATATAAACATTAAATAATAATAATGTTACTTTAAAATTTATGTTATAATTCCTTTCCCTTTATCTCATATTTCGCTTAGTGTAGTTGAACATAATATACAAACCGTTTTACAAATAATGGCGCTTCTTTTTCCAAAAAAGAAAAACCAAAATTAAAAAAAAACTTCTTAACAAAAAGTCTACAGCTTCAAAAAAAAAAGAAAAAAAAATTTAAACAAGTTCTTTTTTTTTTCGAATCAGAAAAACAGGCAAGCAAGAAAACAAAATTTTTTAATTTTCTTAAAGCTTGCCGCGTTTGAACTATATGCGATCGTATTGTTATTTTGTAATGCGATTAAAACCAAGAAAGGAAATACAATTTCATATAAAATCCAGATACGCGTGCAATTTCATCATTTTTGTTATAAATTTTCATTTTTGGCATTTCTTGTTGTTTTTCCTTTGATATTTTTGTAGTTTAAAAATTTTTTTGTTTTTTGATTCAAGCGATATTTTTTAATTTCATTTTGCTTTTCAAAAAATTTATACGAGTAGCGCTGTTGGCTAATTTGTTCACTAAAAAAAAAAAATTACAAAAAACAAAAGAAAGGTAAAAATATAAAATTGAGTTGGTCTGCTTTGAGATGCGCGCATACAAAATCAGAACAAATTTTAGTGTCCTAAATTTAATTGATTTTCCTAACTCTTTGACTCTGAGCGGAATAGGTTATTGTTCTTCGCTTTGTCAGTCACCTCTCTTACTTAAACTTGAAGAAGTTTTTGGAATTAATAACGTGAAAGTTTAACGAAATACTCTCAAGGTTCTTTCTTGCTAACGTTTTTATAAATAAAAAAAGACAATTGTTTAGAGCAATTGTTTGGAATCTTATAGAATAATATCTACATTATGTAATTCTTAATCCAAATATTGTACATTATACATATATAATATAAAATAACATTATATAGAATATAAATTTAAATAATATCGTACAGTATTAAAAAATTAATAACAAATTTATAATGTGCATTTAACAAATTTTTTTTTTAAATTAAAAGCGATGGATAAAAAATTTACAACAACGTCGCATACAACACCCCGAAAACTATGTTGAATTAATTTTATTTACAAATTATTTTAAATTTTTAGGGAATGAATTTCATGGGCCTTAAAATAAGCTTCCCAAATCCACATAATTTTCCAAATTTCTCGAATGATAATAAAACTTGTAAAAACTAGGGTATTTATCTCAACTTTAAAAGGTAGCTTAAGCCTAAAAGTTAAATACCACTCCATTTTAAGGCTTAGTAACGATTTAAAAAAGAAAATGTTAAGAGCACAATTTTCTCAATAATATTTTATTCTATATCATACTAATTCAGGGTTTCGATTCAGGAGTTTTAAATAGCCTGTATTATTTTAATATATTTTATTAAGAATATTGTTCGTAACGATACATTTACTATTACTTAACATAAATATTATTATGTATAACAGTATTAACTCAATTTTTTCCTGCCATATTGTAAAACAGTCAATTATTAACGTAATTATAATTCAAACAATTGAAATAATAATTTATTTGAATTGTTTGAAATGTCTTCAGTTACACACAGAATACATCACTATCTAAAATTTGTGTATGCTTTCTTTGTTCTAATCATATTATGTAATTAATCGATAATTACAAAGTAAATATTAATCCGATCGATAATGGTTATGACTCTGACCCTAATTAAGTCAAAGAATCTCGGGTATTCAAATCCTGATCGAACCATTTATTGAGCAATTTATATATTTAATACGAAAATCTAATCAATATTTAATACTAAACAAAAAAAATAATATAAAAATATTGACCTTTAGAATAATAAATTTCAAATGGCCCCCAAAAATTTTTTTTTCCCAACATTTATGTATGACATAAATACTACAGCTGTTGAAGAAGAAGAAATATGTAAATATTCTTTTAGGTTGGTATAGTCTACTTATAGGGGTACAATTTAGCATTGCATATAAAATGCATGTACATATACATATTTATACATATAGCTATGTAAAACAAAAAAAAAAAACCAAATTAAAAAAAAAAAATTTAAAACATTTTGTTCTCACAAATTTTTTTTTTTTTTTTTTGATATTTTCATTTTAACATACCTTCCGGCGTCTGAATTCGATGCAAGTTCATATTTTTATTATTATATTCTTCTTCTATTTCTGTTATACCAGTTGTTGTTTCTGTTGTTATTACTGATGATGATGCTGCTGCTGATGCTTCTGCTGTTTCTAAAATTTCTTCGGTATCTTCAACTGATTTATTATTGTTATTATTATTATTATTATTGCAATTCACTGATGATGGTAAATTTAAAAGTATTGTAATCAATATAAATACCGCCATTGCAATACGAAATGATGATTTTTGTTTAAATTTTTCCAATTTATGCCAATCGTTAGCGATCATTTTGTTATTTTTTTTTTTTATACTTATCGTTTTATATTTTCCTTATTATTATTATTTTTATTGTTTTCGTTATGATTTCTGTGTATAAATGATTAATATGTCCTTATTGTTTTTATTTAATTTTACTTGTATTTTTTTTATTCTTATACTTGATCTCCTTTGGTATGACTATTGAAAAAGAAATAAAAGAGAAATATAGAAAATTATAAAAATACGAAAAAAAAAAATTTATTAACAAGTAACAAAAATGTTAACATTTGCAAAATAAAAGAAAAAACAAAAATTTTGTAAAAGAAAAGCAAAATTAAGTGAATGAATACAAAAAATAAAGAATGATATATTGCTGAATGGTAAAAAATAAGAAAAAAATAACAAAACAAAAATAATTTTTTTTTGATTTGTTCGGACACTGGGAAAAAGTTTTGCTTATGGATAAAAAAAAAAATACTAAGAAATGAAACAAAATAAAAATCGTCGAGATTTTGGACACAATTAATTATTACGATTTATTTGTGTTATTGTGGCAAAGGACGTTTAATCGTTTTGCCCAGTGAAATGAAAAATAAAAATGAAAGGAAGTTTTCTTTTTATGGGAAATTAATTTGATTGAATTAATATTGTAATAATAAATTTATTTTTTAATATTTTTGACGATTTAATCTTTTGAAATGAAAACAAAATGAATATTAAAGAATTTAAAATATTGTTTGACACTTTGAATAGATTAATTGCATATAAAATATAAAATATAAATTAAATTGCCAATTTTTATGATATGCTTGAACACGTCATTCATTTTTGTATACATATATATTATATACTTTGTTGTATTAGCGAATTTGTTAGTATGCAAAATCATACGTAAATTTTTACGCAAGATGTTAGAGTTAATTTAAGTATATTTTCTTTAAAATTTTGTAATATGGAAATTTTGTAGTTTAGCATTTATTAGAATAGGTCTTTTCAAAATTACCTTACCTAAAGTTTTCTTAGTATTGTTAAAAATTCAAAAAAGTGTCACATATTCAAAGAAATATCAAAGAAATATCAAGTTAAATACATAGTAGGATTATTGTTATCTTTTTTTTAATTTGAGCACAATGGGGTTAATATAGGAAATTTATTGTACCAAATATTTGATATTTCTCTATTTGTTATTTCTGCTTATTCATAATAAAATCATATATTACTCTTTAAAAAATTATCTGTAATAGCATATGGTTACTTTATTTATGTAATAGGGCGTACTATACCATTTTTGCATATTCCAAAATGTACAGCCGTATGTATGTTAGGTAAATGACGTTTATTAACAGATATATATGTTAAGAAATCTAAAAGCGATTGTATTAGAATTTATAATTTAAAATAATTTTCGGCATTTCTTTTCAATACTGTAGTATTCAAAATTTTTCTTGTTGCAATCTGAATTATTAAGGAATAAGACAAGAGGCACTAATAATATAATTGTGAATTTAAGTCCTATACACATAATTACAAACTTTGGTTTGTAATTAAAGTTGGAAAGAAAGACAGTAGCTTAAAAAATTAAAAGGATACTTTCAAAACTAATTTAGTAAGTAAGTTATTAAGTGTATAAGTCATTGATTTTAAGCTACCCCAAAATATAAAAATAAATTTGTTAATTTTTTTTCACAATTTCGCTTACGAAATCATTTTTTAACTAGGGCCTACCGCAGAAAAATTTTCTTTTCAAATTAATAATAATTTCTTTGTATGTCAATAAATTTACAAAATTTATATTAAAATAATATTTAAATGTTTATATACAATGTGTTTATGTATACATGATATACATAAGTATACTTAAACATCATTTAAAGTTGCTTTTTTTTCTGAATGTTTTAGTAAAAGTACCGCAAAATCGCTAAATGGTCCTTTAATAAAAAAAAGAAAAAAAAATGAGGAGAGAAAACGTTAATCAAATATGACAAATCAAAAAAAAAAGGGGAAAATGGGAATAGTGGACACATACACATATATATATGTACATACAAATGGTTCGAGTTTTTACGTTATTATAAGAGTATAGAAACCAAAAACAATTTATAAAATTAAAAAGGATGACATGAAATGGTGACAGCGATTAAAATCTTTGAAAGCTCATAAATATATGAAATTTTTTTTTGATCAAATCAAATTGACAAAATCAAAAATAAAAACAATAATTGAAAATATTATAACTCAAGTCAATGTCAAAAATCGCATGTGAAAACTTCCTTTTTTTCAAATATATTTTTATTTTGGATAAGTATGAACTTGCATATTATACAACATGTCATTGATTAACCTATACAGTCATGCTTGCGATTAAAGTTGATTGTTTTGCATCCAGTGTCTAATATATTATGTCTAGTATTTAATAATTTCTAATTTTATTGTAATACGAATAGTGTAGACATGATTGAATAATAATTGCACAATAATTTAAAAAAATTAAGCAAAGAATCTCAAAAGTATAGGTCCAATATAACAACCTATGCTCTCAAAGAAGGATTTTTCTCTTATTTCAAAATACAAAAAATTTTCAGAATAAAAAAACTCACTGACACACATGCACTGGAATATTTTGCTTAGGAAGTTTCACTTAATTAACTTTTGACTGTATTCTTATAGAAGTGAACAAGCCATATAACAAAATAATAGTTTAAATTTTGGCAATATAATTTACGATATCATAAAACAATATAAATTAATATAAAAATTTCATTTATTTACAATTAAATTAAATTAAAAATTTTATTCAAAAAGTACAGGATACATAAAAATTTATATACACTATATTTTTCAGTGATAATTTATAGTATAACATTATACAAAAATCAATGAGGGAAAAACAAATTATTTAAAGTGAAACTGAAATTTTTACATAAATGTATATAGGCATAATATACATAAGAGTTATAATTTCCAAATAAAATTACCTATCATAAATTTTTATGTATTTGCATTAGCATACCAATTGAACTGTTATATTGATAATATCTGTGTTCAATATATTATTATTTAATAATAATATTTATTCAAAACAAAAACACATATATGAGTATAAACTAACTATTATTTAAAATGATATTTAATATTAACTGGAATATTTTATACATATACATATGTATATGTACATTGCATATACTAGCTGCCTATTTGCACTTGCGTTGCTTCCATTACATATATAATAGTATACTTATCTTTAATTCGACTAATATATTCAAGAATCTTTGCACGCGTAATACCTATGTATATATAATTAATTTCCGGTAATATACAGAGTATACCGCCTTATATATTCAAAGTAAATATAATAATATTTTTTCAAAATTGCTAAGATTTCAACATTTTAAATATACAATGTATTAAACAAACTTATACTGCGCTAAAATTAAGTATCGTACAAGTTTTTTGATGACATTTTATTTTCCAGAACTTGAATGTATTTCATAGTGCTTAATTAATTAAGACAGAAGAAATTAGCATGCTCTTAGAAACAAGGCTACATATTCAGTTCCTCGTTGTATATCAAATTTTTAGGAATGTATTTTGCAAAATATACTGTTTTTATTTGGGTAAATTTGTTAATTTGGCCTTTAGCAAAAGTTCAATTCCTGGCAGCTAATTTTGTTATAAAGTCGTCTTTGGTTATAAGCTCACTTATTATTAAATGAAGTTTATATATAAAATTTTAAAAAAATCTATGTAATATTTTCATAAAAATAAACAAAAATTTAAAAAATAATTAGCAGAGGCTTGGCAGAGTTTCAGGTTATCTATGCTTAACAAATTTTCAATTTTTAAGGCCTGACATATTTCAAAACTTGATGAACTCGTTACATCGCCTCTCAAACAGTAGTTTATCTACGATTCCCTATTAAATATGGAGAAGAATATTGAAAACTCGTAATAAGAAATTTTGGTGCTATCACAAAGCGTCTACAACATTGTATGTAAAACAAAAACAAATTCATTTCAGTAAGATTAATTACAAAAATTACAGAAGTCGCTACAGACTTTACGATTTACTTATATAATTTACTTAGCAATTATATTTATGTTCCACGGCATTAATAGATTTCATTATATCAATAATTGAGGTGTTGTACGTTAGTACCATCAAATTTTATTCCACCATAAATTTTGTTACGAAATTTTATGTTTACTTGTTATGTAATCTGTTAAAACTGAAGAAGCTTACGTATATTAAAAACTCTAAAATGCAAATTATATCAAGATTCACTGAAATCAGAAGAGCAAATATCATTTTTAAACCCCATAAAATTAAAGGTCAACTTTTATAAGGAATGTATGTGTATGATTATACTTTATCTCCTTCGCTATAACATTCTACCAAATTTTTAATTATTATTAAATACCGTGAATGAAACATTCTGCTTTGAGTCATATTTGCAAATTATCTCTGCATATATAGATATGCTACTATATACATATATCTACTAATAGTTTGCAGACACATTTTTATAACTATATTATTATAATTATTACAACATGATAATATAGTGAACTATATTCATATTTTTGTATGTCATTTCTGTATTACACGACAGTTCAAGTACATAAACATAAACATATACATGTATATAATATTACTTATGTTATCTTTAAATACTTTTAAGCTGGATATGAGTATGATACTTGCTGCCTGCACAACATGATATCAATTGATATTTAATGTATCATTTCATTCATCCCACGGTTTTTCTTACATTATACACAAAAAATAAAGATAAAACATAAAAGCAAAATTAAACGAAACAACGCAAAAAAAAATAAAACAACTAAAAACAACTTAAATAGTGGCATTGCAGTCGGCTTCGGCATGATTCGATCATTATGCTTTAGTACATATATACATATGTATTTATATAATATACCAAAGAAGCATAAAAACTGTCAATTCATAAAAAGTGTTTACTAAACTAAAGTTATTAAGCTAACTTTGAACACAAAAAAAAAAATGAAAGAAAAAAAACCAAAAAATGAAAATCGAATTTATTTTTTTTTTTTTCTAAAGTTGTTATTTTGAATGGGGACCTGTTCTGTTTGAAGATTTTTTGTTTTTGCTTTCATCAAGATTCATAATTTTTTACCGACCGCATT